ACAGCAAAAGCGAACACTATTATGTTGAGAGAGCCGGTCTTGCGTGCACAGCAGACGCTCCTGCAAGCTCCACGTCTGGCATGGCCAGCGGTCGCTTAACTGCACACACTCGTAAGCTCTCTCCCTCTATTCCCCCTCCCCTGGACAGGCTCCAATAAACCCTCAACGCCACATCACCAGCCTCTACTTATCGATTCCTACCCCCCCCACCTATGCCCATGACTAAATTTTATGAAAGCACGAACAGGTTTTAACTTTTATCCCCCTTCCCACATGAATGCAATGGCCAAATGAGAACTAATCGAAAGCCTACGTATGCACCCCCACCTGCCCCTCTTAAAGGGAATATGTAGATAGAGAACACATGAGAATATGGAAACAGACATGAAGTTCACTCTACTTTTAGGAATGTAGCTACATGTAGTTGAGACAACCAAGCAAACCTACAGACCGCATCCAGTAAGTTGTTAAAAAGTTTAGCACCCGAGGTTCGTAACATTACCATCAGATGGCCTTAGTCGGAGCTTATTAGTTTGCAGGGGAGTTAATTAAGTCGACTGAAATGCTAAACGTCATTTGAGAATTTTTTGCTAAAAAATTTCATAGACATGCAGAAGGTTTGATCGAATAAGTTTCAGACCCGTTTTCAAACAAGTTTTACCCTATTTTGGACCCTTTCCTCGTTGATCATATAGTGTTTCGAGGGTGCCAGTTCTACGATACTACTTAGCTGTATGCCCTCAATATATCTTACGGAGTGGGACTTCGATACTTGTGGAATCGAAAGCTGTAAAGTCATCAGCCAAAGGAGACATATATTCGGTAATAGCCCTGACAAGCTGTTTGTAAGAATTAGATGGAGACCAAATTTGCAAGAAGCTAAGAACCCTCAGTACTCTAGGAAGCTTTAAGGGCATTCACCAAGGAAGCCTTCCATGGGTTTGCGCTCGACACTTGTTAGGTTATCTGCGTGGCGGTTAGTATTGTACCACATGGAATACTCTTCCAGTGTCTGGCATATCAACATTGTTATTAGGACGGCCCAGCCCGCGAGTCATAACTCGGGCCGTCCAGAGGGCAATAGAACAAAGGAAGTCCACGTGCCAGCGGGCGCATACAGAATGGGCAAAGAGTGCGACTTTTAAAGGGCCGACACGCGAGAATGTAAGGACAACCACCGGCCGGGTTCTAAGATCACGCCTGACAAGACCAAGGTTAAAAACAGGGTTAATATTTGGTTTATTTGGTTCCACCTAGTATACTCGAGGAATTAGCCTCAATGTTGCATCAGTATTATCCATCCTCCCCGACAGAATCCTGGAGTGATATTTACTGCGTTCTGTTTGTAGTCCCCATGAAAAGCGGAAGCCAGTGGCACTAACGAATCGTCAATAGCTATGTTGTATTCCGCTAGAAGTAAATCTGATAAAAAGGCATATCCAGTTTGAAGATAAATGGACCCAAATTGTTGAACATGAACAGCGCAGCTCCTCAGCTTAATCGCAAGTAATCCGAAAGGTTCTAGAATTCACCAGTTCGAGGTTCGAAGATATGATATGAGATATGTGTGAACGACAAAACAGAGCTGAAGGACTCTTAGCATATTGTTCGAATGTGCTGCTTGACTAATTGTACTTATTTAGGTGTAAGCTTAGTTATTTCACCAAACTATTTTGCCTGTTGACGATTCTAGAATATCCGTCTTTCGATGTTCTTTGTTGCCCAATGGGCCTCCGTCCCCCAAGAAATAAAGAAAAGCAGATTGTAATATACATACAAAACTTGAGTTCGGTCTGAACTTTTTAACTACGTTTATGGAAAACAGCGAACAGATTGGCGCTTGGTTTAATTTCTCTAATACATGAATGTACATATGACTGGAAGGTTTCTACTGGACATGCGTTCTACATTTTGAAACGCATATCTATAAATGTGCTTATTATGGAAGTGGGAAAACGTCGCCAAAGGAATACTTACTTTCCAAAAGCCCCGTAATTGCAATCAATTAGTTAATTCACTAAAAAAGAAGTGGCTGGCCTGTAGCATTACCAAAAATAGTTCTAATACAGCTCCGACACTGAAAACGTCTTAGAATGTTAAGTTGTCGGGCAGATGGTGATCAGGACTGCTACTATAGGCACATTGTTAAGCATTTTCGTAAATTGCCAACACAAGCGAACGTGCAAGTCCCAGGAAGTAACTGAGAGGAAGACGACTCGATCGCTGGGACAACATTTTTATTCGCCTGAGGTATCGAGATCCGTTGCGAATTCATCGTCAGAGACGTAAGCAGGAAGCAGTAGCAAATTAGAGTATTGTGCATGAGTTAAAATCTGGTAAAAAGTCATTTTTAGATGTAAATGATGCCACCACTGGAGCGAATAT